GCCTGTCACTAAAGTACAAGTACGTTGTCGCACCGTCCACGGCGCCACCGAACGCGCATGCTCGCGCCCCAAGTCGCAACAGATGATCCACAACCACTGTAATAGGCTACTTTGCGCACGGAAATGCGAAGTTGAGGGCTTGAGTTCCGACAACGATGTCCAATGTATTCATTATTCTTAATATTGAAATATAGCCTTCATTAAATACTCCGGCTGCAATATAAGCTGATATTTCAATTATTTTTTGGCCAGAATGCAAGTGTTTCGGAGTCAATCGCTAAATGGTAGAGTTAAAACTTTCGTTGGCGTTCTGCGTATGGCCACCCAAGCACCTTTCTAGCAGATCTTCTCTGGACAAATCTTCATAAATTGGTAAGAGGTGCTCCTTCATCTCTTGGCCAAGCAGTGGTGACAGATCTTCGAGTCTCGGGTCCGTGTTCAAAGCGACAGCTTTCTGCCACTTGCACCAGCTCTCAGGTCCCGTCGGGCAACTTCCTTGCTTCCCGCTTTCGTCTGTAAATTGATTTCCCTGATAATGTCTTTTCTTTGAACGACTTCGAGCGACATTATCTTTCGTTCCTTTGGGATAATTAGGCATTTTCGAAACGAAAATGCGACCGCACACGTGAAACTTTTGGGCTACACTGACTCAGCTGCTCGAGAAACGTTCGTTCGCATACCTATAGAGTTACATGCTATATACACACATAGCATCTAACTGTACAGGTACGTATACGGTACAAAAGGTTCGTACGAAGGAATTTTTACCCCGCACAAAGTTGTCAAGTCGATTTCGGCACTTGGCAACGCTGCCTCTGCCCGCTCGGCCCAAGCGCTTCAGATACGATCCCGGCGTTCCACGAGGGCTCTCAACTATGAGCTATATCTCCGTAAATATGTCATATTTCGACTTGCTACTTTGCCAGAATACTCTCAAGGGATGATACTTTCAAAATATGTAAAAAAAATCGATTTTTTTGAAGGTTGTAAATGTATTTCTCCCCTTAACCTCTCCGTATAATACAAGCAATCAATTAGGCTAGACTGTTCGGGGAAGGTTAATTGCAAATGGCGTTTAACCGTAAGAATCCATTCCCTTCAGCGGATTCCCTCCCAATTAGGGGTCACGGACTAGGACCATTTACGTTTCACAGAGTTCGGTCTCCTTATTTCTTACTTCGTGATAAGACCGCAAGTGCTGGTCAGCCAGGCCATTGATCGAAACAAGTGATAGTCAGAGGGAGCAACGTCTGGAGAATACGGCGGGTGGGGTAGGACTTCCCATTTCAACATTTCCAAGTATGTCTTGACCACTTTCGCAACATGAGCATTGTCATGCTGCAAAATCACTTCATCGTGTCTCTCGTTGTATTGCGGCCATTTGTCTTTCAATGCTCGGCTCAAACGCATCAATTGCGTTCGATACCGATCGCCTGTGATTGTTTCAGTCGGTTTTCACAGCTCATAATACACTACGCCGAGCTGGTCCCACCAAATACAGAGCATAACCTTGGAGCCGTGAATATTCGGTTTGGCTGTCGACGTGAAAGCATGGCCGGGAACTCCCCATGATTATCTGTGCTTGGGGTTATCGTAATGAACCCATTTTTCGTCCCCAGTCACAATGCGATGCAGAAATCCCTTCCGTCTTTACCTTTCAAACAGCTGTTCACAAGCAAACAAACAACATCTCTCGGCTTCAACTCGTACGGCACCCAATTTCCTTGCTTCTGAATCATTCCCATGGCTTTGAGGCGTTTTGAAATAGCTTGTTGAGTTACTCCCAATGATCGTGCCAATTCTTCTTGATTTTGACACGAGTCTTGATCAAGTAATGCCTCCAATTCTGCATTTTCGAAAACCTTCTCTCTTCCACCGCTATACCGGTCTTCGACGTCAAAATCACCGTTCTTGAAGCGTTGAAACCACTCACGGCACGTTCTTTCACTAATAGCGGCCTCACCCTAAGTATTTGAGAGCATTCGATGAGCCTCAGCCGCAGATTTCTTCGTATTGAAGCAGAAAATTACAATCTCCCGCAAATAACGAGAATTTGGCTCATAAACTGATATTTTCAATCGAGAATAACTTTATGATGCAGACACAAATCAATTAATGTTTCTATGGGATTATGTTGATAGATGCCCAAGTTTATTGTATGAAGTCTATGATCTATTTATTTCGACTACCACTTACCGCTAAAGCCATCTATAGGAAAACGGCGGAAGCAAAGTTGTACACCTAATAACTTATATGATAGAATATTGAATGGTTACATAATATGCATGCAAATACATAATTACAATATACTTATAATAAAAGAAAAATTATATATTCGTATTAACGTATAAGAGTATTGATAATAATAGCTAAAAAATAAGGTCTATATATTATTAAAGACATATATTATGACTTACTCGATTAATCTCCTTTCCTAAAAATAAAAAAATAATAGATTAAGCAATAAATTGTCTAAGATACATAATTAACAAGCGTAAAAGCTTACGATAAAAGATAGAAATAGATTTCATTATTAATAAAATATAAATAACACTCACCTATTAGAGTAGAGCGTAGCTATAGGCTTAAAACCTGTAAATAAGAATTTAAAATATTTAGATATGTAATAACTTTCATATAAACTCAGGTAATAAAGTTAAATGTACAGATATAGAAAGATAATCGCTTACTAAGCTAAGTTAGAGTTTAAGAACTTAATAATAAATATTGTATACAATATTAATAAGGATAAATATAGAGTTTGGTATAATACCGAGTTAATACTTAAGATATATGTAAAAATAAACGTTTAATAAATATTAGATAGTAAGTTACAAGCAGATAATCAAATACGAACTAAATAGATAACCGATATAGCAACGATTAGGCCATAAGCATAATAACTAGGTCTTGGCCAGATTCCATTTGGCTTCAACCATATTAGATCCCGATATAACCGGATCATTGAGGCAGAGGAACATGTATTAGGATTTATCTGGATCCATTTGGGCAAAAGAAGAAATCACTTGGATATTTCCAGATCCCATTATGATATAACCAAATCTAATTGAAGTTTAGCCAGATTGAAGGAAAAATAAAGATTTATCTGGAGTTAGCCAGATCCCATCTGGGTCTTGCCAGATCCCTTCTGGATAAAAAATATTCGCATCTGGATTTGCCAGATCCCAAGTGGCCTTGCCCAGATGACATCTGGACCAGATCATCCAGGACACTCAACCCTACACATGGACTCGGATGACCCCAGAACATATCTGGATTCTCTAGCAGAAATTACCAAAAAAGGGAATTCGCTACCTTAAAGAATTCAAACTTGGCGCCAAGCAGAAATACTGCTAAGATGGCCGTCCTTAAGGCAGTGAAACATGGCCGCCTTGGGGCGGAAGACATGGTGGATGAGATGGCCGACCAATATGGCGGATCAGCATGGCCGACCAACATGGCTGACCATCATGGCGACCCGGAAGAAGATGACCGTGACCAGCGTAAGTGTGACGCGTTCCTAGGAACCAATAAGCTTCAAGAAGAAGCCGCGCAAGGATCTAGGGACCGGATAGAAGAATCGGCAGCCATAGTCGAGAGAGTTTCGATACACCAACCGAGGGTAATGGATCGCTGCGTAACAAAATCGAAATCGTTGCGTAAGAAATGTAAAAACGCGAAATATAATCCCATCGTTAAGATTATTCGTACAGTACACGCGAGTAATAATAGATTAAGGGGATCCTAAAGCAAAGCTCGAACTCCGAAAAATCACTAGATGTCGCGCCGCGCGCCGCACATCGCATGTCTTTTTATACTACCACAGCAATATCTCACGCAGCCTATGATACACGCAGTCACACATACGTGTCAATTTTCGTACAACGAATTCGTCGCGATAAAGCGTCTAAATCTAATTCTAAGAACTCGACGTTGTATGTTCGTGCAAATTACGTGACTGTGAATCATTATTTCGTACGTACAGGTTGCAAAACTTTCATATCAAGCAAATGTTGTCACGACTTGACAGCTGAGACGCCATGTTACACTAAGAAATGGTAAAAAATATATCGATTTCGAAATTTTTGATCATTCTCAGCGTAGACTCCAATTCACAGTCACGTATTAATGCGTATACTTTAATCCTGGAAAAGGATTTTCGAATCCGTGAAAGAGAAAAAGAGTATTCGCAATACAAAAATTGTACGTATTTTAGTCGGTAATACAGGACTTTAGGATCCCCTTAAGGGCGGAAAGTCCGAGATTATTCGCGAAATCCGTAAAATACAGAAAACTGATTGCATAAGATTGCATCAGGTAACGACGCCATTGACGCGAGACGCGACGGTACAGGCCAAGCCGTGTTTAGCAAAGAACATTATCGTTTCCGTAGTACGCGATTGTAATAAAATAATAAGCCTCGCGAACCGATGTGATCGTTGGATACGACCAAAAGTGTCGAAAGTGAGATTATAATTAACGACCACGAGCCCGCGTACGCGCTGGGTAATACACAGCCCCGTTGTGTTTCCGTTGATTAATTCGACACGATTGTAATACTCGTGTGTCGTGCTAAACAATGTACATATGTAAATAAACTTCTATATAATAACATATGTACTTGTCTCGTTATTCACGAGAAACATATCCTGAGAACCTTTCCTGCAAATCGTTCACCGAGGGAAGATCTCTTACGAAGTTCCGATAACCTTGGGTACACGGAGTTGTTAACGCAGCAGCCTGAAAGAATTCATATCGTCTTTGAGAAAATATCTATTTACAAGGACGTCCTAACGAGAGGCAACTATCTTCCTTGTTGCGAGGTAAAACAAGGTGGCGATCAATTTTAAGGTAAATTATCGAAATAAGGTAACATTTTCTTCTAATGTCTGGCTACAACGTATGCTGCGATTGTCTGGTGGCCAAGGGTGGAGAAGGTGGAGGCGAGGAACGTGCTCAAAAGCCTTCAAGAGAGATATCTGAGGGCTGCGACAGGGGCCATGAAAACCTATCGAGACGCTGGAGATGGCACTCAGTTTTCCGCCCTTGCGCCTAATGATCATCAGCATAGCAAGACAAATAGTATACAGGATGAAGTGTCAGGGGGAGTAGAAGGAAACCAGACTTGGCCACACTAGGCTGGGTCTGTCCTACAGGCCCCCTTAACACTGAAGCAAGATCCCCAGGAAACACCTACTGGAAAAGACCTTTAAGGTTTGAATACCGGTTAGGGAGGACTGACAAGATACCAACTTTCTAACCAATCCAAACGTGGAAGTATGGTACACGGATGGATCGGGAGCAAATAATCGTTTTGGGGCGAGCATCTACGGCCCCAATATCAATCATGAAAAAAGCATACCAATAGGAAGGCTATCCACGGTTTTTCAAGCTGAGATATTTGCCATCTCAAGGTGTGCAGAACTCCTGATCGATAGAAAAATCAGGAACTGTATCTGCATCTCGGATAGCAGAGCAGCCATAAATGCACTTGCAAAGACCTCTACAGAATCGTCTGTAGTTTGGGACTGCATGCAAGCCCTTGACAAACTAGGAGAAACAAGTGAAATCACCTTAGTATGGGTCCCTCGTCACCAGGGAATACCGGGCAACGAGAGGGCGGATGGGCTAGCAAAGCCGGAGACAGAAATAGACTCGGCTGAACAGACCGTCGGAGTTTCCTTCGTGCTAGGTAAAAGAAAGATCAAAGAAATGCTGGAGCTGGAGCATTTAAACTCCTGGAAAAAAATAAAGGGCTGCTGACAAGCCAAGAAATTTATGGAAAACCCCAATCCGGGCAGAGTAAAAAGAGCTGGCAGCAAAAAAACTGAGAATAGGCCTTCTTACTAGACACTTGTCCCTCAGAGCACACCTATTCAATATAGGACTAGTCAAGCAGAAAAACTGCCGACTATGTGGAGAGGAAAGCGAGGACAGCGTGCACCTTCTGTGTCGTTGTCCTATGTTTGCCTGCAAGAGATATAGACCTGGGGCCACATGTTTCTAACACCCGAGGATCTAGACGGAACAAAGATAGGTGACCTCATAGGCCTGGCATACGGAGCGGGGCTGGGCTTGGTTGCACTACTTTGAGGAAAAGCAGGGAGTGACAATGGAACTTTGGAGATCTAGGTCACGTTAGGCGGCTGCCATAGCTCCACCTGCATTACTATAACTACTACTAATATAATTTTCATTTGACACAGCAGCATTAAAATCGCTACGTATCATTCTCATGTAAGTTTAAGATATTGTATAATACTATTACTCGATTCCTAACGATATAAATTTGCATTGTATTATTTTCGACATAACTCAATTCTTTATACTTTACATTATTTAATTTTAATTTGTATATTATACTCAATTACTATATATTTCATATCTTGTATATTATATACAATTGTTCTCTGGTCGATCGGTTGGAACAGATCTTTTTACAATATTGACTTGAATTTATATACATTTTTTGAAACAATATGGACATTACGTTTTTTGTACATGTTTGCTATTTTATATACTGCGTACAGCTTGCATAAGGTATTTTTGTTTTAAATTTATATCTCTGGTTTTAACACACTAAGGCATTACAAATTTAATAAATTTGACGATGATTCTCATTTTTTTGGATTTTCATCTGTTATTTTAAATTAAGTTTTCTTCATATTATATATTATTTTCGAACTAACTTCTAAAAATTAGTACTTTTTGATATTGCAAACTCTAATATTTTTTAATTTTGTAATGAGTGGTGTTCAAATTCATTTTTAGTTTTTACCGTATTTTATTGATAAGCTTGTTTATGTTCCGACTTTTTAAATCAGTTTACATTGTACTTTACCGCATTGACATGTAAGGTGGTTATAATATCTTTTGATAATTTACCTCTTGATACATATTTTTGTCTACATACTCAACATACATTGTTAATAACAGTTCACCTTGTTCTTATCAGTGTTGGTTTTATTTTATATTTAGAAGCCCGAATTTAATTATTTGAAGGACATAAGACTGTCACTGTTCTTACCAACAAATTTGAATGCTTGTCTTATTCATTTGGCTGGGATTCATGATGTACATCGACACTTTGACTTTTCAAATTGCATTTATTGATGTTAAAACGAATGTCAGGACGTGTATTCGAGAACTACCTTACATCGACAACTTACTTATAACAATATAGCCTCAATATCGAAGGTCCTTTGTAATCTTTTTATGTTAATTTGTTTTTATACTACCTGATAATTATATATAATTTAAATTTGATACTTTGTTAATGACTCGAAAGCAGCCGAAACGTTAGGTTTTTTCTCAGTAAATATACGTAGATTATTTTCTCAATAAATATATGTTTTGTTATTAATTTATTTCTGTTTTAATTTCTTTTTATTATCTGAAATTTATTGAACTTTGATAGGATAGTTTATAATATTGTGTTCTAGTTTGGCTCATAGCTGTTCTTAATTAATATTTTATCTTGTATATTACATTATGTATATTTAACACAACACTATTTTATAGTGAGTACCATTGGTATTCGTTTTTCATATTGTTCGGATAATTTTAGATTAATATGAGATGGCTTGTCCTACTGACGACAGATTGAAGGCATATTAATTGTACAATGACTGGCGTTTATCATTAGTTTATAATAGTTTATAATAAATCTAACAATCGACCACTGTTATAATATATCCTTAACTATAGACTTTTTCTTTTTCGCAACTCTGATTTCTGCAGTAACTAAATGACTACTAAGCAAGATATCATGCGCTGTTCACACGTAATAGGACATTCGCTGTCATTCGATATATTTACGTATTAGTAACAGCTTGTATTTTTTGTAATTGCATTGATACGGACCTAAATTATTTGTCGAAACGTACATATGCACGTTTAATGTTAAATATTAATAAAACATTTTTTTGCGCACCGTTAAACTGTGTTGGCTCTTAGGGCGACTGTTACCAACGCCGATTAACTCAATCAGCAGAATTACTATTATAGATAGGAGATTTTCATTACTTTTATCAGAGTTAAGTATGGGAACGCAGAGACCGAAGTATATCACGAAGAGATGAGGTTAAGAACGATATACAGTCTTGCTGTTAACTACACTGCTGATTGAGTTAATCGTCGATTAAGTTAATCGGCGTTGGTAACAGTCGCCCTTAAGTAGCAATTTTTGTTTCCTTTTTTTACAAAAAGTCTAGTATAAGTTATTTTGTTAGAAAGAATTTTCTTCAAGATCTAATGCATTTTATAAAGTTAAAGTTAATGACGTTAAGGTATTTATTAAATGGATCGATTTATATTAGTACAATTAAAATTGTAGTATTTGTGTCATAAAATCCTTTCGTTCTCCAATGTCAACAATTTTAAGTCACGTAAAATTATTTGTTATCCATAGCAAGCAATCGACGTGCGTTTGGCTGCGTAATAATTAGCTTGAACGAAGGAATCTTGTACCGCGTTCATTTTATCGAGCATATTAATCATCATAACAAGATCAGATAAAGGGGCGATATTGAATTTAAAATAAAATAAAGAACAAATCATGTATACGATCTATGATACGCCGCTTTCCATCAATAATCCGCATATCGACGACGCAAAAACAGGACGCGGTAAACGGAAATCGGTAAGCGATTAATCTGGAGCCGTTTGCAGAACACGGAGAGAAATTCTATCGCATGTGCCAAGGAAGTGCACGAATCCTCGAAAAGTTCGAATTGATAAATCACAGTCCTAATAAGCATCGCATAACATAATCGTGTTAGCAACCGAATTTATTACGAGAGTGCAAATTAACAATAGCGGGCTGGCCGTTGAATCAATTGTTATGACCCAAGTAGGTCACACCTAAAATCTGTCTGCATCTTTTCTGCAGACCAGTAGTTAAACTCATTACAAAATCAAGTCACCTACTTTGGATCACAAAGGAGGTGACACATTCATTTAATGCAACTACGCATAACTTCGACCTAATTAGTAAATATAAAAACGTAAGCCTCGAGCATCTTCGTTCCGAAAAGTTAAGTGAGAGTACGACTACTGTGAGAATCTCCGCTACTGCGAGACACCATCATACTGTAAACTCGTGACAATAAAACTTCTTGTACCACGAACGCTGGCCTATATTCATTGGAGGACCTCGAGCCCTCATTAAACGACACCGCCACGCCCTGAGCGGCACGTCGTACCTGGACAGGACGACTGGTAACTGGCTGACCCGTAAATTCTATAAACTGTGCCCGGAGCGGCACCCTTGCACCCTGAGCGGTACAACACAATTGAAATTTACGATTACATTCTCGAACGGCGGAAAGGGGAATTGTTGGTTTCACTGAGGAAGAATCGAAAGGATAAGACAAAAAAATACATCGTTAATGAAATTACGAATGTCCGTATATTTGACCTTAGCAGTAGTGTATGAATAGTAATAAAAATAATAATAATCGCGTCGTAATCATAGTATATCGCTTCTAATGATCGTGACATCTTTCTCATAAGAATCTAAAAGTAGTAATCATAATAATACAATCGATAAATTGCGCTATAATAATTACTATACTGTAAAAAAATCACTACCATCTTTGGGAGACAATGCGTAAGAGAAAGAAGGTAAGGTAGCAATGCCGTGGAAACTTAAGATTAAAGGGTAGAGAAGTCGAATGTGCAGAAAAAGATGCAAAGAAAGAAGGGAAAGTTGTTTCGTACAAAATTAGTTGGCAGGTCTAGCTCTGAAGATATAATTAATAATATTACTTTATCATAATATTATATCCAAATTCTCCCCCCCCCCTCTCTCTCTCCCCCCTCTCTCTCTCGCACGCACGCGCAAAAACGCACACTCACTCATTTTTTCTTTCTTTACATTCTCTCCCTCTTTCTTTTTCATTCTGTATATGTTCCATTCATTCTGTCTTTGCGCGATAAAAAGCTTCCGTCATTTAAAAAGCAGTCTTTCATAGCACTATGCGGAGCTCTGCCCCTTCCTGTGCCTTCTCGTTAATGATATAAAAAATGTCTCGCCATGAACAAAATTTCACGTTATCAACTGACGACCTGTAAGACGTTCGCGTCTCGACGCTCGAAAAGTCACTAATCGATCGACGTAGAACGCATGATGAAGTTAGACAACACACATTAATTGTCTAATTACACCATAGTAAAATGTATCTCTCCGTGTGTGTCGCGTGCGGCATCATGTCATATATTTATTTATTTACAAATACATAAATATATGTACAAATGTCTCACGTAACCTAATTTCACTCGGACCATTAGAAATACTGTCGCGCTTCCGTGTTGCAAATCGTGTTATATTACATGATGCTTTGCGTAAAAAGATGTAGACTTCGACGACAAGATCGCTTTAGTCACTTCGATGCGCGCGACGAGCAAAGATATGTCAACTTGACTAAGTTGGACGAAAAGAGACATTGTTAGTCGCAATATTTGCTTACTCTCTCTACGCTACGCACATGTGCACAATACACATACCTCGTTCTCGCCCGAACACATCCTCCTCAGTCGCACGAAAAAATGTCTGATCGGATAATCTTGATGTTCTTGTCGCACTTGTCATGTTGTCAATTAAATACGTTTCTGCTACAATTTCTAACATTACTCAATCCGATATTAATAAAATCCCTGCGCGAACATTACGTATACTGATTGTGTGCACGTTCGTAAACTCCATTAGACCACGTGAACGAACAAGTCGCGTATAATTGGGAATTTATTCTTTCTTCCCATTA